TTTTTTTTTTTTTCCATAATATATTGTATTCTGAGGATTTTCTGTATGAATCCAAAATTTCATAAATTCTCGTTTGAATTTTGTGGGTTTTGGATTCTGAGCTGGAGAAGGGGTTTCTGGTCTTGATTCTCTAAACTTGTTGATTGCTTGAAACCCACAAATAACACACCTTCTGTTAAACAGCAGACTTTGTTGATTCCTCTATCTCCTGTTTCTTGTTGATAGATTAAGAAACCCACTGAGTAACACTTTCTATTTCTAAAAACCCTCTCCTGGGATGGATTCATATCCCCAGGTTGACATTAACCCGGAAAGTTCTTATAAAACTCCCGATTACACGAGGAACTCGTCTTCCCAAAGAAGCATTTCCTCCATTCAATCAGCTCATTCAAAGACCTCCCACAGTCACTCCATAAGAGAGGTGAGCTTCAGTAGTGAGCCCGTCTCGAACCCTGTGAGATATGGTTCGAGTGGTACTAACTCCAGAGGGCTCACCACTTCCTACAAAGAGATCAGTGATGAGGATGCTAGACTAGTTTATGTAAATGATCCCGAGAGAACCAATCACAAGTTCGAGTTCGCTGGAAACTCAATCCGGACCTCGAAATATTCCGTTCTGACTTTCTTGCCCCGGAATTTGTTCGAGCAGTTCCATAGAGTCGCCTACATATACTTTCTCGTGATTGCCATTCTCAATCAGCTCCCCCAGCTGGCGGTTTTCGGCCGGGGGGCTTCAATCATGCCACTAGCATTCGTCCTCTTAGTTACGGCCGTTAAGGACGGTTATGAAGACTTTAGGCGCCACCGTTCAGACAGGATCGAGAACAATCGGCTGACATGGGTTTTGGTAGATAACACATTTCAGCAGAAAAGATGGAAGGAAATTCGTGTTGGTGAGATCATTAAAGTGTCCGGGAATGAGACCCTTCCTTGTGACATGGTTTTGCTCTCGACGAGCGATCCCACTGGAGTGGCTTACGTGCAGACAACGAATTTGGATGGGGAATCGAATTTGAAGACTCGGTATGCAAAGCAGGAGAGCCAAATGAAAAATCCCTTGGACGAAAGGATTAGTGGGCTGATCAAGTGCGAAAAACCCAACAGGAACATTTACGGCTTCCAGGCGAATATGGATATCGATGGAAAGCGTATATCTCTTGGGCCTTCTAACATAATTCTACGTGGCTGTGAACTGAAAAACACCGAGTGGGCTATTGGGGTCGTGGTTTATGCGGGTAGAGAGACGAAGGCAATGCTCAACAACTCAGGTGCCCCGTCAAAGAGGAGTCGTCTCGAGACGCGTATGAACCGGGAGATAATTTTCCTCTCGATTTTCCTTGTGACACTCTGTACCATAGTCTGCATATGTCACGGGGTTTGGCTGAGACGCCATAATGATGAGCTGGACATGATGCAATTTTACAGGAGGAGGGACTATTCGGAGGCCGAGGTTGAGAACTACGAGTATTATGGTTGGGGATTGGAGATACTCTTTGTGTTTCTTATGTCTGTTATTGTCTTCCAAATTATGATTCCCATATCGTTGTACATATCCATGGAGCTTGTGCGTGTGGGCCAGGCTTATTTTATGATCCGAGATAAGCGGATGTTTGACGAGTCCTCCAAATCGGGATTTCAGTGTCGGGCCCTGAATATAAATGAGGATTTGGGGCAGATAAAATATGTTTTCTCTGACAAGACCGGTACACTGACTGAGAACAAGATGGAGTTTCAGTGTGCAAGCATTGCCGGAACAGATTATAGCAACGGTAAGGTGAGCACGGAAGTTGATCAAACAATGCACACAATCCAAGGTATTATTTTGCTGCCTCTGTGTGTGTGTGTGTGTCTACATGTTTCTCTCACTCCAATTCTTCTTTGTTCTATAAGAAAAGTTTTTGTACCATTACGATGTGGTTTTGTTTTTTTGGTCACTGTATTTCTTGCCTGTCTTATTTGTGCCAGCTGATGGGACAATCTTAAGGCCAAAGATGACGGTTAAAGTTGATCCAGAGCTTCTTCATATTTCAAGAACACACACAAACGAAGGAAGATACATTTATGATTTTTTTGTGGCATTGGCTGCATGCAACACCATTGTGCCTCTAACTGTTGAGACATCTGATCCTGCTGTTAAGTTGATCGAGTATCAAGGGGAGTCTCCTGATGAACAGTCATTGGTCTATGCTGCAGCTGCCTATGGTTTTATGCTTATTGAACGAACTTCAGGTCACATAGTTGTTGACATTCAGGGGGAAAGGCAAAGGTAATTTGGAGTTTTTTTTGTGTGTGTGTGTGTGTGTGTGTGTGTGTGTACTCCCAAGATATTATTTTGCCGTGCTTCATGTCCTATTGCTATCCATAGTTCCCATCTGTAATTGCAAATTGCAATCAGAAATTGGCAAGTCATATGTTATTGTGAAGTACAATTGCCTTATATATTAAAGTGCGCTTTCTTGATGTCATGTTAATGGAAGTGCCCATTCATTTAAATATCAAATAGTTTCTTGTGGAATTATTGGTTAAATATTTTTATCTGGAAGTTTTAGGTGTACTGGTATTTTTCTAGCTTGTTTTAGCAGTTAACTTCTGCTAGAAGCTCGTCTAAATTAAACAGTAAATAAGTTGTCTAATGTCTTTTGCTCTTTGTTTAAGATTTTCTTTCGTCTTTCTTTCTCCTTCATTGAAATATATTCTGTCGGGTAAATGGCTTTTCAGGTTCAGTGTATTGGGCTTGCATGAGTTTGATAGTGATAGAAAGAGGATGTCTGTTATTCTCGGATGTCCTGACAACTCAGTAAAGGTGTTCGTAAAAGGTGCTGACACATCCATGTTCAGAGTGATAGACAGATCCTCAAACTCGAACATGGTAAAAGCAACCGAAGGCCATCTTCACTCTCACTCTATAAAGGGCTTGCGTACGCTTGTTATTGCCATGCGGGATTTGAGTTCTTCAGAATTCGAGCAATGGCAGTCATCTTATGAGACGGCAAACACAGCCGTGATGGGCAGAGCAGGTTTGCTTCGTAAAGTTGCAAACAACATCGAAAACCATCTTAACTTATTAGGTGCCTCTGGGATCGAGGACAAGTTGCAGCAAGGCGTGCCTGAAGCAATCGAGTCTTTAAGAATGGCTGGCATTAAAGTCTGGGTTTTGACCGGGGACAAGCAAGAAACTGCGGTTTCAATTGGCTACTCGTCTAGGCTTCTTACTAGGAACATGACCCAAATAGTGATAAACAACAACTCTAAGGAGTCGTGTAGAAAGAGCTTGGACGATGCTTTGCAACTCTGTAAGAAATTTACTAGCGTTCCTGATGCCACACAAGTGGAATCTGGGGAAATTGCCTTAATAATTGACGGGACTAGTCTTGTATATATTCTGGACTCCGAGCTTGAGAAACAGGTAATTTCCTGGAGTTTCTCTCTCACACAATGTAATAAAATTATACATGAGTTATTCATTAAAATTTAATAATTAACTTGAACTAATTTTTTTTATTCTGCAGCTTTTCGAGTTAGCTAGTAGATGTACTGTGGTATTGTGTTGTCGGGTGGCTCCATTGCAAAAGGCTGGAATAGTTGCTCTGATAAAGAACAGAACTGATGACATGACCCTTGCCATCGGTGATGGTAAGAGCATTATTATATCTTTGTATTGGAATGAAGAAAAATGAAAAGTCTGAAAAAAACATGGAAAGAGAATTTGTAATTTAATGCTATGTGTAGTAATCGATCTATCTACCTAAATTTTACGTTTCTCTTGTCTAATTTTTTAAGGGGCAAACGATGTGTCGATGATTCAAAAGGCTGATGTGGGTATTGGAATCAGCGGGCAAGAGGGAAGGCAAGCTGTCATGGCATCGGATTTCGCCATGGGTCAGTTTCGATTTTTGGTCCCGTTATTATTGGTACATGGACACTGGAATTACCAACGCATGAGCTACATGATACTCTACAACTTCTACAGGAATGCTGTTTTCGTCCTGGTCTTGTTTTGGTGAGCACGCTTTTAATTGTCCATCAGAATTAGAACTATGTATTATAATGTTTGAAGATTTTAACAATTTTATGCAGTTCTTTCTGAGCATTTACTTATTTGTAAGATAAACTGTAAAGTAGTTCTGATATTAAGAAATTGACTAACAAAAACCTGCTTCACTCTAGGTACGTGCTCTTCACGGGTTTTACATTGACAACTGCAATTACCGACTGGAGCTCGGTTTTATATTCTGTGATATACACATCTGTGCCCACAATAGTTGTGGGCATTCTCGATAAGGATTTAAGTAGAAGGACTCTGCTCAGGTACCCTCAGCTCTATGGGCCCGGGCAAAGATCCGAGAGCTATAATGGGAAATTGTTTTGGGTCACGATACTTGACACCTTATGGCAAAGTGCAGCTGCTTTCTTTGTGCCTCTCCTTGCTTACTGGGAAAGTAACGTTGATGGTTCTAGCATAGGAGACCTCTGGACAATTGCTGTGGTTATATTAGTCAATGTACATTTGGCAATGGACGTGATTAGGTGGTTTTGGATAACGCATGCAGCCATCTGGGGATCGATAATCGCCACTTTCGTTTGTGTCATGGTGATTGATGCCTTGCCTTTTCTGCCTGGTTATTGGTAAATATTTCTCTTACCTAATAAAATTATGAAAATAAATAATTTTCACCATTTAAGACATTGCATTGGTGTTATATACACGGTGTTGTACGCGTACTGCATTTGATGATGCTCTTCGTATTATTAGTAAGATTATTTACGATCGTTCATATTTTCAAGCAGGACCAGCACATAACTTCTAGGGTGAATTACGAAAATTACTCCCGATGTGTAGTCTCACTACAATAAACCCTGGAAGTTTTTGGGTATTGCAAAAAGAAACCCGAGTTTGGTTTTTACAACAACTCTCTAAATCTGTGAAAATTTTACAGTTACCCCATTACATTTAGCATGGCATCAAACCCCAGTATAGTTTTTGTAATTTTAAAGTTTCTTGTATTTTTTTTTTTTTTTTTTTTTTTTTTTTTTTTTTTTTAACCAACCCAAACAACAGGGACAGTTATCCAATGTAGTCTCAAGCATGCTTGTGGCTGTTGTTAACTATATAATTCTTGTTTCCTATTTTTCAAGTAAAAGTAAAGACTGATTTCTAGTCACAAATGTTTGCAGGGCCTTCTTTAACGTTGCCAATACCGAACTATTTTGGGTTTGCTTGCTCGGAATAACAGTTGGAGCTCTCGTTCCTCATTTTGCCGTTAAAACGTTTGTTCAGTACTGTAGACCAAACGACATCCAGATTGCTCGAGAAGCAGAGAAATTCAGCAGCACAAGGGAGTCCCGAGACACACAAATTGAGATGAACCCAATTTTCAATCCACCCCTACAAAGGATCCGTGGTTAGCTTTCATTTGTTATTTTTGTTTCACGATGATGTTTTATAATTTATTTTTTTTTTGTACGGGTTATATAATTTTTGGGCTGCAGCTAACATCTGTGTCCACTACTTTTCTGGATTTCATAGTTGTACTTAGGTAAGATTCTTGGCATGTATAGGTTGTAATTGTACATTATCATTATGAGTTTTCGGAATGTAGAGGAAAGTACATGTACAAGGTTGAACAGATTGAAAAGGTTATCGATGATATATACACAAAAGTGAGATTTTTTGGTGTTTGTGTATGTGTATTGGTGTTGTCACTTGATTCCGAAGGCTCATAGTCAGTTCAATGCAAAACCCCTTACGACGAATTGTCTTTATTTTAGGAGTTTCGAGATTTTTTTGCGCAAATGGCACATTTTGTTAACCAATTGCGTGTTTACGGCCAAGAGTAACATTTTTATAACACCAAATCGAATAATAACAATGTCAAATGAAACATACAACTCCAGTTAGAGAGAGGAAGAGGGAGAGAGACTATGAACTTAATCTTCAAGAACATATCGATTTCTTCGTGCTCCAAAAGCAAACCTCTGCACGACACGAAAGTCAAAAAACAAAAAAAAAAAAAAAA